AAAAGGAACTCCCAACTAGACACACAGAGGGAAGTCAGAGAGTGTACAAAAAATATATATCTAAGACATATATCTGAAGATATATCTAAAATTATAAGGTGAATTAAGGGATAAGCCAAATGACAAATGATTTAGGTAAACTAGAAAAATTGTCAGAATTGTGGCAACTGACATTTAATGTGGATAAGTGCAAGATAATGCATCTTGGACGTAAAAACCCAAGGGCAGAGTACAGAATATTTGATAGAGTCCTAACCTCAGCAATTGAGGAATGGGATTTAGGGGTGATTATTTCTGATGCCTTAAAGGTAGGCAGACAATGTAATAGAGCAGCAGGAAATGCTAGCAAAATGCTTGGTTGTATAGGGAGAGGTATTAGCAGTAGAAAGAGGGAAGTGCTCATGCCATTGTACAGAACACTGGTGAGACCTCACTTGGAGTATTGTACACAGTACTGGAGACCGTATCTTCAGAAGGATATTGATACCTTAGAGAGGGTTCAGAGAAGGGCTACTAAACTGGTTCATGGATTGCGGGATAAAACTTACCAGGAAAGGTTAAAGGATCTTAACATGTATAGCTTGGAGGAAAGACGAGACAGGGGGGATATGATAGAAACATTTAAATATATAAAGGGAATCAACACAGTAAAGGAGGAGACTATATTTAAAAGAAGAAAAACTACCACAACAAGAGGACATAGTCTTAAATTAGAGGGACAAAGGTTTAAAAATAATATCAGGAAGTATTACTTTACTGAGAGGGTAGTGGATGCATGGAATAGCCTTCCAGCTGAAGTGGTAGAGGTTAACACAGTAAAGGAGTTTAAGCATGCGTGGGATAGGCATAAGGCTATCCTAACTATAAGATAAGGCCAGGGACTAATGAAAGTATTTAGAAAATTGGGCAGACTAGATGGGCCGAATGGTTCTTATCTGCCGTCACATTCTATGTTTCTATGTTTCTATAAATAGCATGTAATTCCATCTAAGTATTCACTTAAATTATATTGGTTATCGCCAAATAAAGGGGACATATACACTTATGCTGTTCTGTGGTGTTAGCTTGACAAAGATCTCTTGTTAGGTCGAAACGTTGCTGTCTTTTTTGTTACAATAAAACTGCCTGCAGCTTTAACATCCTGAGTGCCTGGAGGTATTTCTTCTATTTGCTTTGCTGTTGTGCGATGGCTGGTCCTGCTCCGGAGCACTGGGTGGCTGCTTAGGGATTGAGTGCGGTTCCTGCCAACACTTCTGCGATATTATGAGTTAGTCAATATAAAAGAATATTTTGAGCAATAGAAGAGGGAAGGGATTAATTAAAGGATATATGAGACGAATAGCAGATATAGCCACGTGAAGGGTTTATGATGCTTAATAGCGTAAATTAAAATTAGACACGATTTTGTATATATAGGATAACACTTTTTTCATTTATTTTTTTGCACTATCACTTATAACTTTGCGAATATCATTGACACTGTTTGCTAAATATAGTAAAGAAATATGAATAAATATAATATGTCATAGGTATTGAAGGTGTAAATCCTGTCTTTAACTCTGGTATTATATTTAATGACTGTAGAAGGCCAAATTTTTTTTTGTCGGAAAACAGAGGTTCAGAGGGGTACAGAAAGGAAAAAGGGAGGGTATCAGGGGGGTGCATACAGATTCCGTTAGAGTCGGCAGTGCAATTGATCATACCACTTAACATCGTTTGTACAATACCCGACAATTCTACTTGCTTACGGTGTGTAATACTGATTGTGTTTCCCTTCGATTACATATCGGTTATACAGTGAGTAGTGCGGGTTGTTGTACTCGGCCCTGCACGTCTACTGTGTATGGAGGGTTGTTACTTGTTACCCCTGTATGTGGGTCCTCCTATGGTGGCGTGCTAATTGAGCTAATCTCCTCAAAGGAGGCGCATGGGGTATGCTCGTCTGTGGGAACAAGGACCCCCGTTGCGGGAGGGCTGTGAGTTATTAGGCCACCCTTCCCTGGCGGGTTATTTCGATCGCCACTGGCAAGTCTGTCTGTTTGTCTATGGTGTGTGGTTCCTAATTATCGTTCGCCTTCTCAGGCTATCTGGTGTTGTTCCTCAGGTGTGTACCCCTGAACGGTTCCAGGATGGGAGATGGGGGGGTGAGGCTGGGTGAAATGGGGCGGGGAATAACTGTGGTAACTAATGTGTCATGTGTGGCTGCTGTGAACCGCCGAGGTTCTATCATTACTCAGTTGTATCAGTGTTGGCAGTGCCCCTAGCTGCAGCTTGGAGGGTTCTCTGCTCTATGTAAGTGGTCCAAATCTTTTTCGCTGTAGCACTCCCTTTGCCTATTTTTGTTTGGTTCCACAAGATCACCTCATAGTCCAGGGTGGTAGTGACCATTGCTGTCACCTCCGCTGTGGAGGGGATCTGGGGGGTCTTCCAGTGTTTTGCCAGTAAGATGGACGCTGAGGTGAGCCTGAGGAACATCAGTTTAGTTATACTATGGGGTATATTGGCGGGCAGAAGTTTGAGCAAGAATGTTTCAGCGTTGTGTTCGAGGATGCATCCTGTGGCCCCCCTTATTATCTCTGCTATTCTGGACCAGTACGGTTGGACCTGGGTGCATGACCACCATATGTGTAACATGGTTCCCGTTTGGGTCTGACATCGCCAACATTTGTCACTCGTGTTAGGGTAGATTCTCTTAAGTCTCGTAGGGACCATGTACCACCTGTATAATAGTTTATGTGAGGCTTCTAGGTGCGAGGCGCACGTTGTGAGTCCCTTGTGGTTGGCGTATATGAGGTTCCAGTCGTCTGGCGTGAGGGTTCTATCGATATCCCTGTGCCAGTCCTTTTTAAATTGTCACTCCGGGTCTGGCTTGTGTGCATTTATGTGTCTATAACACACTGATAATGTTTTTTGGGTGGGTGTGAGGTGGAGGCACATTTTTTCGAATGATGTGAGGTTGGGATTAAATCGTGGTGGTGGTTCGTTGCCCGCAGTATTGTCTAGGAGTGTTTTCAGTTGCCAATGCGAGAATGTTAGTTTGGCTAGAATGTTATATGTGGTCTGCAGTGTTGAGAACGGGAGTGGGCCTTTTTCGGTGCAGATTTGGTGTAGGTGGGTGATGTTGTGGGCTTGCCACGTTCTGTGAGGAAATGTGTTGTTATGGAGTGCAATTGTTGTTAGTGGTGTTGCCATCGACCATGGTCTGACTGAGCAAAATGCGGTCCTGTGGTTATCCCATATGTTGTATAGTAGTTTTGTGGTGGGTAGGGTGTTCCGGGGGACGATGCGTAGTGTCTTGGGCATCCACATAGCAGCTGCAAGGTCTGTTTGTCCTCCGCAGCTGGCTTCAAGGGAGATCCACTGGGGGGTGTATGTGGTGGAGTGCATTTGGAGCATGTTGGCGATGTGTGTTGCATGGTAGTATGCCCTGAGGTCAGGGAATCCCAGGCCTCCATTCTCCGGGTGTCTCATTAATAAAGCTCGAGGGACTCTGGGGTGTTTTCCTCCCCAGCTAAATCTGATTAGGAGCGATTGTAGTCTTTGGATGTACGACTGTTGTATGGGGATTTGTAGGGAGCGGAACATATAGAGGATTTTAGGTAGAATCGTCATTTTGATGGCCGCTATGCGGCCTAGCCATGAGAGGAACTTGTTTTGCCATGTGTGTAGCGTTCGCTCCACTTCTTTGAGGAGCTTGATATAGTTGGTGGCGAATAAGCCCGAATGATGTTTCGTTAGCTTAATGCCTAAGAATGTTAAGTAATCATTCCTCCAGTCATAGTTGAAATTGTGTTTAAAACGTTCCTCCTCCGCTTTGGGCATGTTTATGCACATGGCCTGTGTTTTGGTTAGGTTCAGCTGGTAATATGAGTGTGTACTGTATTCTAGTATTTCTTTGTGGAGGTTGGGGAGTGAAATTGTTGGATTGGTTATTGTGAGGAGTATATCGTCTGCGAAGAGATTAAGTGTGTACTCCCTGTCGCCTATGGTTACCCCTTTTATGTTATGGTTATTTCTGATGGCTATCGCTAGTGGTTCCAGCGCAAGCACGTATAGCAGAGGGGATAGGGGGCAGCCTTGCCTGGTTCCGTTGGTTATTGTGAAGGGGGCAGAACTGAACCCTGAATTTAGAACTGTGGCCGATGGGGTGCTGTACAAGGCTTTTATCATGTTTTGGAAGTCCGGTGGGAACCCGTATTTCGACAGCGCTTCATGTAGGAATTGCCAATTGAGACGGTCAAATGCCTTCTCGGCGTCTAGGGAGAGGAGTGTGCTCTGTAGTGTGGAGTGGTTGAGGTAGTGAAGTATATCCAATACTAGTTGTCTGGGCCTTGTCTGCCTGCCACGAATCCCACTTGGTCTGTCGAGATCAAGCTGGGCAGGAGTGTTTTGAGCCTAGCCGCATATATTTTAGCATATAGCTTGGCGTCGGCATTTAGCAGGGAGATAAGTCTAAAATTCGGGCAGACCATCGGTGGTTTACCCGGTTTGGGTAGGGTTATAATATGTGCCGCTAAGAATTCGGGCGGTAGGGTTCCCTGTTGCGTGGCTAGGTTTAGGGCCTGTGTGATGTAGGGGGTTAGTACCTCCTTAAAGGTGGTGTAATACAGATTGGTGAAGCCATCGGGGCCTGGGGCTTTGCCTTTTGGCATGGTATCAATGGTCTGTGTTACTTCTAGGGTGGTGATGGGAGCCGCAAGGTTGGCTGCTTGGTGTGCTTGGAGTCTGGGCATGTCAATTTTGCCGAGGTACTCCGAGATGGTGCTGCGGGTTGGCTGGGGTACTTGCGGGTTGTCTTTTAAATTGTATAGAGAGCTGTAGTAGTTTGCAAATTCATTGCAGATTTGTGTGGGTTGGGGCAGTTTCTGTCCCTGGGGAGAGAGTAAGTATGGGATTCTGGTTTGGGCTTGCTTATCTCTCAGTCTTTGGGCCAGAGTTTTGCTGGCTCTGTTGCCCATGACAAAGGTGGACGCTTTGAGCCGCTTCAGTGCATAGCTTGCTTTTTGGAAGTTGACAGTGTGGATTTGTTTTTGCAGGTCAGTGATCTCAGCCCGCGTGGCCTTGGAGGGAGTTATTTGGTTTGTTCTGTGCAGGTCTTGTAATCTTTTGAGGTTCTGTATTGGTGCGTGCTGTTGCTGTTTTTTGAGGTGGGCTGCCCGTCTTATGAGTATGCCCCTGATGACCGGTTTATGGGTCATCCAAAGGGTGAGCGGGGTAACTTCCGGGGTGTCATTGGTATGAAAGTATGTCTGCATGTCGTGTCGTAGTGATTGGATGAATTGAGGATCAGTGAGAAGTTGCTCATTGAGCCTCCAAGGGCCCCTGTTTTTGTAGTTGTAGTGGTCAGCTAGTGTAAGTTCCACTGGGTTGTGGTCTGACCAGGCAGAGGTACCTATCTCACACGCTACTGCACGATTCAGATGTGCGCTCTGTAAGAGGAAGCCATCGATTCTTGAGTAGGTGTTGTGTACCTGGGAGAAGTGTGTGTATTCCCTCTCTGTTGGGTGTAGTGTGCGCCATGCGTCGTATAGGCCATGTGACTGTAGGAGCCTGGTTAGAGATTTACATTGCCTGTGGATTACCTTGTTCCTATGGGGTGTGTGCTGCGCTGTTGAGTCTAGCGCGGGGTCTTGGATCTGATTAAAATCTCCGTATATGATCGTTGTGCCCGTTTGTGTTGAGGTTATGAGCTTCAAGAGGTTGTGGAGGTATCCACATTGGTTTGCATTTGGCATGTACGTATTGACTATTGTGTATGTAGAGCTATTAATGGTGCAGATCAGTATAATGTATCTCCCATGTGGGTCTTTTGTGACCGTTATTTCGTCAAATGCAAGGTGTCGGCTGATTAGGATGGAGACGCCTTTACGTTTTGAGGGCGCGGTGGCGTGATACTGGTGCGGGTATGTTGCCTTTCCTAGGACCGGGCTAGTGGTGGATTGGAAGTGTGTTTCTTGCAGACAAATTATGTCTGCTTGGGAGGTTTTCAGATCTTTGAGTAGGGTGTGCCTCTTGTGCGGGGTGTTCAGGCCCCTAACGTTGTGTGTGTATATCTTCATACTACAGTGTTAAGAGTTGGGTATGCTGTTCTGGAGCTCTGTGTATATCTTGGGGTGTTTGGGTTGCGCATCGAAAAGAAGGGCTTGCCATGTGATGTTGGAGTGTAATACTGACACATTTGGTTAAAAAAAAACATACAAACGTAAACCATAACATAATCAATACAAACTTAAAACAACATGGGAACGCCACTATTGGGGCGTCCATAGGCATCATCTTGGAGGTCATGTGGCTAACCTCCTTGGTTAGGGGGTAGGTGGCCGTGTCTGGCCGGTCTGGGTCTGAGCCTGTCCCTCACCGGTGGCCAGAGCTCGGTAGCTGCGTGCACTGTAGGTCGGTTGGGGTCTGCAGGGGAGTCAGTGCTATGTAGGGGGTTTAGTCTGTCTCGGTGCAGTCATGGGGACTGTCCTGTGGGGTGTTGCTTTTGATTCATCTGGCTATGGAGGGAGTCTGTTGTTCTGGTCTCCCACATCGTGTGGTGTTTTTTTTTTTTTTTTGGTTTATCTTGTTTTGTCTGTCTTGCGTCGTGATGTCTTAGTAGTTGTGGGGCCTGTGGTCAGTGGGTTTGTCAGGGCTATGAGAAAGCGGGGCTGTCTAAATCTGCTGTAGGTCCTCGTGACCTATGTCTCGATCGCAGTCGTCTGTGCTTAGCATCATGCATGTCTAGTAACTGTTCCCTCGTTATATCCCTGTTGTTTGAGCCCATGGGCATATTCCCCTGTCCCCTGTCTCCTATCCAACAGATGTTTGTCCCCCACTCACAGTCTTGTCAGACCAACATGCCCCTGCAGACCAAACCTGTGGTGAGTGTCCCATAAAGTTCATCGCATCAGTCGCTGGGCGTTCCGCCTCGGCTTAGGTGATTTCCATTCCCTTTGGATCTTGTCGGTTCGTGATGGTCCTTTTTCGGACGTGGTTTCAGATAGTCCCCCGGTTTGTAGAAGCTCTACGCCTTCTTGGTTAGAGGTTATCACGTGTATCTTGCCTCCTTTGTGGATCAGGAGTTTCACTGGGTAGCCCCAGCGGTATTGGATAGTGTGATGGCGGAGGGTCTCCGTGATGTTGCGGTACGATCTCCTTCTCCGCAGGGTTTCCGCTGACAGGTCCGCAAATATCAGGACGTCTTTGAATTTCTCGTTCCCGCTCCTTCCTGTTCGGTTGGCTTTGAGGATCTGTTCTTTCACGTGGAAATAATGGACTCGCAGAAAGACATCTCGCGGGGTGGAGGTGGGTAGGTGTGCTGGTCTCGCTGTTCTGTGGATCCTGTCCAGGATCAACATATCCGCCGGGATGTCAGGCAGCATAGAGTGGAAGTATTCAGTGGCGTAAGCTGTGAGCTCCATTTGGGTGATTGCTTCTGGTATGCCCCGCAACCCCAGGTTATTGCGGCGTGAGCGGTCCTCCATGTCCATGAGTTTGTACTCACAGCGTTCTATTTTGCTTTCCAGCTCCTCCACCCTGTCAGCTATTGAGTCGTGGGCCGCAGTGAATTCCTCCATTTTATTTTCTAAGTGTGAGGTGCGGTTGCCAATATCTGCTATATCTTTACGTAGATCTGCCACTGCTGACTGTATTGTCATTTGCATTTTGTGTGCTAGGGAGTCCAGCATGTGTTGCAGAATCGACCTATCCACCGCCATTCCCGTTGTGGATTCGCCGTCGGCGTCTGACTCGGCGCCATCTTGGACTGATGCATCCGCGTTTTTATTTTGCGGTGCGCGGGCCGTGAAAAAGGACGCTTTGTCCTTGGCCTCCGGTGGTCTTTTCGTGCGGTGTTGGGACATATTGGTGAGCGTCTCTGCTACTTGTGGGTGCTTTTTTTGCTGTAGTATAAGCTTTTCCCGAGCCCGGCCGTCGGAGCTCTCTCAGCCCGCGACCATCCGGCTCGGCTTCTGGTCACCCCCAATCAGAAGGCCAAATTTTAAAGGATTTATATTTATTAGAAACAACTTAGAGAAGGTATCTAAGGACCTTAATCCTCCCATTCCCACCCCTTCTCTGTTAATATTGTTAGCGTACTTTATAAATAATAGGCGTGAAGGTGCTCTTGCCTCAGGGTAAACAATAATTTTTCTTAGGAAGAGGTAAGGGGTAGCGATAAGGGGTAGAGATAATCTCTTCATTATCCCATTTGTGGGATTGGTTGTGGGCTGTGGCCCGAGTTGGGCTTTGGGATTCCTCTCAGGTTTTTGTTATGTGTTATGGGTTTATTGTATGTTATGTCTGCGCACCTAGGTGAGTGGTCTTCTCCTATGTGAAAATCTGATCGTGATAGGTGGATGAAGATTCTAATAAAGATAGCCACATTTAATGCCCAAGGTTTCAATATTCCCAAAAGAGAATAGCCTTATATGATTGGCTTTTTAAACAGAATATAGAAGTCTGTGGAGTACAAGAGACCCAATGGAAGTGTGATGATCCAAATAGATTTACTACAAAAAAACTACCCCAATATTATTCATGCATCTCTAAAAGATTTTTTTTAAAATGTGGAGTAGCAATTATTATTTCTAAAAATGTTAAATATGAATTAATACATAAATATTGTGATCCTAAGGGAAGAGTAATCGTATTAATATGTAAATTGAATGATATGACTTTTTCTTTTCTAAATATATATGCGCCAAATGGGAGAAAAGTCAATTTTTTCAACAGATTTATTAACAGAATTAAGGGTACATTCATGCTTTTAGGCAAAAAAAATTTTTTTTTGACATTCTTTATTTTTCCTTTATTTAATACAGCACATTTAGTACAACAAGCAAATTCAAACATGTTTGGCAACCTTTACACAGGCAATGAAGGAAGGACACAATATACCACGTAGGCAGATAATACAGCAGGACATTTGACAGCATCTTTACAAATGAATAGAACCATAACTAAGACAGCAAAGATACAGCTTGGCAACAACCAGGGCCGCAATCCCAAGACAACCAAGGGACACATGGGATAGATGCGAAAAGCGGGGGCGTGGGAGGCGCAGCTTTCCCTGCTACATCGTGAAACGGGGGTTCTAATCTACATTTAGCGTCTACTGCCCTGCTCTTGGTGGCCACCTATTGGGCTAGCCCATGGCCGAAGCCATAGTGGTATCCACCGACCCTCCAGACTGGTGTAGTGGATCGAGTGAGATGTATAAGAGCTGTAGGGTGCCCTCTGATGCCTCTGTACCTTCCTCCCTCCCCTAATGTGATAGGCTGGAGCCTTCTAGGGATCAAATCGGGGCTTTTAGGCAATTTTAATTGCGTTATAGACGTAGAGAAAGATAAATCTCCGTTACAGGATAAAAGAATAGATCCAAGAGGTTTAGCCAGATCGTAACAAGAATCTATTGGGAAATTTAAACTGTTTGACATTTGGTGAACATTAAACCCTTCCGGAAAGGAATTTACTTATTTTTCTCATAGACATAAAAAGTTTTCTAGATTGGATATGATCATGACATTTGGTGATACAGTTAGGAAATGTAAAGGAATAAAAATCAACAAGGTGACTATATCAGATCATAATCCAGTAAGTATGGAAATTGAAATGGATTACATTTTAAGAAGAGGTGGCTGGAAACTAAGAGACACAATGAATGATAAGAAAACTCTAAATGAAATAATTTTGAACTCTAACCTATATTTTAAATAGAATCTAAATGATGGGGTTAGTTTAGCTCAAAATAAGAAATTAAATTATCAAACCCTGACATACCCGTATATACTTGAGTATAAGTCGAGACCCCTAATTTTACCCCCAAAAACTGGGAAAACTTATTGACTTGAGTATAAGACTAGGGTGGGAAATGCAGCAGCTTCTGGTAAATTTCTAAATAAAATTAGATCCCAAAAAAATTATATTATTTGAATATTTATTTACATTGTGTGTATATAATGAATGCAGTGTGTGTGTATGAATGCAGTGTGTGTATGAATGTAGTGTGTGTGTATGAGTGCAGTGCGTGTGTGTATGAGTGCAGTGTTTGTGTATGAATGCAGTGTGTGTATGAGTGCAGTGTGTGTATGAGTGCAGTGTGTGTGTGTGTGTGTATGAATGCAATGTGTGTGTGTGTGTGTGTGTATGAGTGCAGTGTGTGTGTATAATGCAGTGTGTGTGTGTATGAGTGCAGTGTGTGTGTGTGTGTATGAGTGCAGTGTGTATGAATACAGTGTGTGTGTGTATGAGTGCAGTGTGTGTGTGTATGTGTATGAGTGCAGTGTGTGTGTGTGTGTGTGTATGAGTGCAGTGTGTATGAATGCAGTGTGTGTATGAGTGCAGTGTGTGTGTATGAATGCAGTGTGTGTGTATGAATGCAGTGTGTATGAATGAGTGCAGTGTGTATAAATGAGTGCAGTGTGTGTGTGTATGAGTGCGTGATGCAGAGGTGGGGGGGTGGGCATTTTTATTATTTTTTTATATTATTATTATTTTAATATTTTTGTTAATATTATTAATTTTACATTATTTTATTAAAATTTTTATGTTATTTTTCTTCATCCCCCTCCCTGCTTGTTAGCTGGCCAGGGAGGGGGGCTCTCATTCCCTGGTGGTCCAGTGGTGTGCACTGTGTAGGAGGGGGCTGGCAGGAAGCATTTACTTACCTTTCCTGCAGCTCCTGTCAGCACCCTTCTCTCTCCTCCGGTCCGGTCAGCTCCCCTGTCAGCTCCCCTGTAAGTCTCGCGGTCTGAGTGCCGCTGAGTGCCTCTGACCCCACGGCTCTCGCAAGACTTGCAGGGGAGCTGACCGGACCGGAGGAGAGAGAGAAGGGAGCTGACAGAAGCTGCAGGAAAGGTAAGTAACTGCTTCCTGCCAGCCTCCAACAGGATTACAAGCCCGGCTGTCCTGGTCTGTATTATGGCAATGTAAGTTGCCATAATACAGACACTCAATCAAGTATAAGATGAGTGGGGGTTTTTCACCACAAAAATTGTGCCGAAAAACTCGTCTTATACTCGAGTATATATGGTATCTTTATTTGAAACTTGACGATCTAGAGAAAATCATCCCCAAAGAGCTACGAACCCTCTTAGAAATAGATCAAGAGTAAAATTAGAGATTTTATATTAGAGAGAGCAAACAAAATTCTAACTACCGTATATACTCGTGTATAAGTCGATCTCATGTATAAGTCGAGTGCAGTTTTGTGACCAACAATTGTGAAATATGCTATGCCTCGTGGATAAGTCGAGGGTAAAACTTGGGGCTATGAAATTCTGTGAGTTTTATAATTATATACACACACACTCATACAAACACACACTCATACAAACACACACTCTGCATTATATATACACACACTCTGCATTATATACACACACACTCTGCATTATATACACACACACACATACAAACACACAGTCTGCATTATATACACACACTGTGTATATAATGCAGAGTGTGTGTTTGTGTAGTGTGTGTGAACTGGGTGGGGGGAGGGCATTTTTATTATTTAAATTTTTTTTATTTTAATATTATTATTTTTATTATTTTAATTTTATTTTGTCCCCCCTCCCTGCTTGTTAACTGGTCAGGGAGGAGGGCTATCTTAATCCCTGGTGGTCCAGTGGCATGGGCTGTGAAGTGGGGGGGCCGGCAGGAAGCATTTACTTACCTTTCCTGCAGCTCCTGTCAGCTCCCTTCTCCTCCGTTCCGGTCACCTCCACTGTAAGTCTCACAGTCTGGTTGCCGCGCGGATCGTTGCCATGGCTCTGACGGCCGCGGCTCTCTAAGTTGCCATAATACAGACAGTGACTCGAGTATAAGTCGAGTGGGGGTTTTTAAGCACAAAAAATGTGCTGAAAAACTAGACTTATACTCGAGTATATACTGTAAATGAAAACAGAAGTGGTTTTACCTGGGAAACAGAGCAGATACATTATTTTTTAATTAACTTAAAAACTCTAATTTTAGGGAGAGAATCTTTGAAATTTAAACAGAAAACAACTCTTGCAGGTTACCCAATCAAATCGCCTCCGCATTCAGAGAGAATTATTCTTCATTATATAATATTAGCGATCTTAAAAAAAATTAATCGCAAATTGCAGATCTAAAAAATAAAAAAAAATTCAAATATACAAGCTTTGGATATAAAACATAGAGAAGCATTAGAAAAGCTGATTGAAACGAAAGACGTTATCCAAGCTATTAACAGGTTAAAGAAGAACAAATCACCTGGCCGAGACGGCTTCTCTAATTATATCCATAAAAAAAGTCTTGTAATATCTTCCAATCTAACAAATGTATTTAATGACATTTTAGAAAATAAGCCATCCCCTAGAGAAATGTTGCAAGCGATCATTATTCCAATCCCTAAACAAGGTGAATATACAAAACTAGTATCAAATTACAGACCTATTTCCTTAGCAGATAGAATCAAAAAGATAATAGCACTTATAATTCATAAAAATCAAGTTTTTTTGTTAGTGGTCATCAACCATATGGTAACACAAGGAAAATTATAGATATAATAGATTTTGCTATAAAGAACAACAAATCTCTGGTAACTCTCTCTGAATGCGGAAAAGGCATTTAAATGGGTAGACTGGATTTTTTGGGAGTCAGTTCTTAAAAGATTTAATTTTGGTGAAAATATAATAAAATTTATCATGGCTCTGTATTTCGATCCGTCAGCTAAGATTGCAGGGCAAGGTTTTTCATCCCAGTGGTTCCGAGTTAGGGATGGTACTAGACAGGGCTGTCCTTTGGCCCCTCTTCTCTGTATCATAACTCTAGAACCACTGGCAGCAATAATTAGAGATAATACAAAAAATAATGGGAATCTCTATTGGTGATACAGAAAACAAGGCTAGCCTTTATGCGGGCGATATTCTACTGACACTAACGGACCCTGAAATCTTGATAGAAACTCTATTAAAAGAGATTAAATTATATGGGGAACATTCCAATTACAAACTAAATATTAATAAATAACAAGCGATGACAGTAGAAATGACTGAAAATAGAAGTATAGCACTGAGCCATAAGTTCATTTATGTGAAAAGACAAATTTATAGATAATTTGGGGATTAAAATTGCAAAGGATACTCTATTTTGTATTAAATCGAACTATCAAGACCTTTTAAATAATCTATTTAAGAAATTGGGAGAATGGAAAAAACTTCCCATATCATCGATGGGTAAACTTAATGTCATCAAATCATATATTCTAAGTAGATGACTTTAACATCCATCCTATATTTATATACAATTTCAAATAGCCATAGAAAATGTATTTGGCTAAATAAGAAATCAAGAATTAAAAAAAAATCTTATATGGAAATGGGGGTATGGGCTTTCCCAACATGTTTTATATATTTGAATATATGCAATGCTACACGCTATCCACTCACACTCCTCTAGATCTGAAGACTGGTTCGTAATTGAACAAAAGATATTGAATATTAGAAATTATAATATCTTAGGGGTGAATAATGCAACAGTTAAAAAAAATCATAGATAATCCCAAAGGGAATTTTATTATTAAAAATATTTCCTTCTGGTTGAAATTGAAGAATGGTATCGGTTTAAAGGATAAAATTATCACAAACTGCTATAGAAATAATAGAATAGAATATTCTCACGAATAACACGAGGTGGTATAATAACAAAAAACGTAAAGGTTGAAGATTTTTTAAAGGGTGCTCAATTTAAAACATACGAACAATTAATAACAGAGCATTATATTCCTAGTAAGCTTTATTATAACTTGATTCGTATTAAAAACTATATTTCGATGCATCTTTTTACTACTTTGAATCCTAAGACTATGGAATCATTAGTGACCCTCTTTGCTACTCATTCAAATAAAAATATATTTGCAAAAGCTCATTCTTTTTTTAAAATCTTTTGAAAAGTTAACTAAAGAGCTCAAATGTCCTGGCCTAATGATCTTGGCATAGTGTTGGATAATAATGCATTGGGAAATATCGAGATACAGGTTGGGAAAGTTACTCACTGTCTAAATTATCAGGAATTTCAGTATAAAATAATGCATAAATGGCATTTTGTCCCCACTAGAATGCATAAAATTGACCATAATTACTGCTCCTTATGTTGGAGATGTGGTTTATGCAAAGGAACATTTTAACATATCTGGTGGTCCTGTAGTTTAGTACATAACATATGGACAAAATTTTTTTCAAATAATCTCAGATATGGTAAAAAGATAAAAATTACAGTATCCCCTGTGATCCTTGTCTGCAGTTAGCACGGTCCTTTTGGGTAAAAACAGGCACAGTCTTTAAAAGTAACTTAATTCCAAGCACTTTATTTGTAAATCCACACAGGAGACAGCAGTAGATGAAAAAAAACAATAATGTAACAAAATCCCCATAAACAAAAACCTAGCTCGTCTGAGCACTAACTAACATCAGATCCCCTATCTCTCAGGGTTAAACTATAACAAAATAATATTGGTTTCACCAACCTAGTGTCTTTGTCAGCTCTCAGCACTCCAGTGTTTAGTCAGCCTGCTGCTTCCAGCTCTTCAAGAGAGAAAACAAACATTCTCTCCTTACCTGCCTAGCAGGGATGGGTTTATTCCCACTGCTGCAGCTGATTACCTGCAGCTGAGCAGTGGGTTGGAGACAGTCCAAAAACCCTGGCCTGGATCTATGTCTCCCAAGAAAACCGCTAAACTGCGGAGTGGAGCACTGGCCCACCCTGCTCTCCAAATGCTCCACCCCAGGGGTTAAAAATCATATGCCTCTCTGAACAATTCAGTAGATATATAAACTCCCTCACAGACCACCCCATTCACCTTTTCACACCCCAGATAAAGCCCTTTTACATTTAAATTTAGATAATATCAATAAACTAGGTAATTTTTTGGCTATTCAGATTTTTATGGCCACAAAGGTAGTTATATCTAGAATGTGGAGGAAAAAACAAGAAATCCCTATGATAGCGGTAATGAACCAAATAAACTTTCAAGCTACGATAGAAAAGGTTATTTTTTGGCTTTTCAAAGATATCATGCATACATAAAAATATGGGAACCTTGGTTGAGCTCATATCTCGAGAGATCTATAGTCTAACTGGTCCTGTCCTTTTCAGATTAATATTATTGGGTAGAGTGATACACCCAGTTGCGCAAACCTTGTCTAATGGTCCTTTGTTTTGCCTATGTTGGTAGTTGTATATTATGGAACATGATTAAGACAATTTTATAATCATTTTCGATCTGATAAATATTTCTATGTTCTAAATGAAGTTTGTATATGTGAGGTTGGAGAAATGTGATAGAAATTATAAACGTATTCATTTTTGGCTATTCAACTATGTTTGTGAATAACTAAGTATAAACAAATAAAAAATAATTTTGAAGAAAAAAAGAAAATAAGGCTTACTGTTATTATTATTATGTTATTTATATAGCGCCATCAAATTCCGCAGCGCTTTACAATGGGTGGACGAACAGACATGTAGTTGTAACCAGACAAGTTGGACACACAGGAACAGAGGGGTTGAGGGCCCTGCTCAATGAACTTACATGCTAGAGGGAGTGGGGTAAAATGACACAAAAAGGTAAGGATAGTATTAGACTAGTGACAGCTGCAGAAGAGGAATCAGTCAGGAGCTATTAACAGTTTAATTGATACGCTTTTATGAAGAAGTGGGTTTTTAACGATTTTTTGAAGGAGTGGAGACTGGGTGAGCATCTAACGGAGGAGGAAAGCGAGTTCCACAGGAACGGTGCAGCCCTCGAGAAATCTTGAAGGCGAGCATCAGAGGTGGGAGTACGGACAGAAGATAGATGTAAGTCTTCAGCAGATCGTAAGGGCCTAGACGGGACATACTATACATATATACATATATATATAAGGGAGGATAGATAGGTGGGAGCAGCATTATGTAGTGATTTGAAAGCAAGAACCAGAATTTTAAATTGAGCTCTATATTTTATAGGAAGCCAATGTAGGGACTGACAGAAGGGTGAGGAATGGGAGGTGCGGGCAGACAGGAAGATGAGCCTCGCTGTCGCATTCATTATGGACTGTAACGGCGCAAGTTGGGAGCACGTAAGACCACTGAGAAGTGGATTACCGTAGTCAAGGGAGAAAGGACAGTGGAATGGACCAACGCCTTAGTCGCATCTGGCGTTAAGTAGGGGCGGATGCGCGCAATGTTTTTGAGATGGAAATGACAGGATTTGGCGATAGATTGAACATGAGGCTTGAAGGAGAGGTCGGAGTCAAAGAGAACACCTAGGCAGTGAGCCTGCATGGTGGAGCTGATGGTAGCACCGTTGACTTGGAGGGAGACAGACACAGGAGTAACAACAGTTGAGGGAGGAAAGACCAGAATTTCAGTTTTGGTCAAGTTAGTTTAAGGAAGTGGGCAGCCATCCAGTTAGAAATAGCAGAGAGGCAGTCAGAGACACTAGTCAAGAGGAACGGGGAGAGATCAGGAGAGGACAGGTAGATTTGCGTGTCATCTGCATAGAAATGATATAGGAAGCCAAAGGAGCTAATGAGTTTACCAAGGGAGGCAGTGTAGATGGAGAACAGTAGGGGACCAAGGACTGAACCTTGGGGGACACCAAAAGAGAGGAGTTGGGGAGAAGAAGCAGAGCCAGAGAAAGAAAGACTGAAAGACTGCTGGGAGAGGTAGGAGGAGCACCAGGAGAGAGCAATATCTTGTAGACTGATATTGCGGAGGCTGAGAAGAAGCTGTTGATGATCAACAGTGTCAAAAGCTGCAGACAGGTCAAGGAGAATTAGGATAGAGTAGTTTTGCAGCAAGTAGATCATTGGATACTTTGGTAAGTGCCGTTTCTACTGTTATGTGTCCGTGGTGCTCTAGGCCATGGACCCTAGGCTAATTAAAAAATTATCCATTCCCAACTTTGTGATAGCATTTGACCTGTACAGGGACGTTATTTGGTCCACTTCCCCCCATCGTAGGGAAGAACTATACTTATATCTCCACAAATTGGTAGACCTAGGGAACAAGTACGGAGGCCATTCTTTCTATGATTATCAAAGATCATTTTTAGCCAAAGCGGCGGCAGCACTGATCCAATTTAATATCCACCCTGACTGAAGCCAACTTGACATGGAGCTGTTCTGCCGCCATTTTGCTAGCCTCAAGCCACCGTCTTGTGCCTTATGCGCTTCAAGCACACACTCTACTAACTTGTGTCCCAACGAACCTAGCATGCCTACTACCAGCCATGATGCATCCGCACCCAACAAGTCAAAAAGGATATTCAAAGACAAGCTTGGCAGGTCTATTGTGTACCTGGGCAAGGCACAGATATGCAACAACTTTAATGCCAGAGGCTGCAACTTCAGCACATGTATGTTGTTACATGTCTGTTCCCTTTGCTTCAAAACCCACACAAAGACCATGTGCCCCAACAGGCTGTTCCCCAAGCAATGACTCACTGAAATTAACATTCACAGTTCAGCTCATTATCTCACCAATCACCCCTCTATGCACTTAGTCGATTTCCTCATCACTAGGTCCACAGAAGGATTCCACACTGGGCTAGTGGCACTTCCCAAGGGCACTTTAGAATGTAATCGCTACATAATGCTGCTCCCACCTATCTATCCTCCAACCATTGTAGATCCCGACACCACAGACACACTGATTGCAGCAGAACTAAACCATGGTTTTCTAGTAGTCCCCTTCAAACAGCCCCCTTATTCCAATTGGAGAACCAACCCAATCTGTATCGCGACAGGCAAGTTCAATAATAAAAAACATTTCATCATTGACCTCTCAGCACTTCATTCCTCATGTATTCCAAGCCTAAATTCACTCATACCTTCAGATGAATTCTCACTTCAATATGCCACAGTGAACAATGCCATAGGAGCAATCTTGAAAGCTGGGTATGGTGCTTGGCTGGGAAAAACGGATATCTCCAATGCTTTCAAGTTGCTACCCATGCACCCATCACTGTGGCATTTACACGGCATCAAAGGGAAAAGTCTGTTCTATTTCGCCACATATCTGACATTTGGGGCTAAGTGCAGCCTAAACTTTTCGACACGGTCCCGTGGAAACACTATGCTGGCTTCTCCTAAACGTAGGCTGCTGCCCAATAGCAATACAGTACCTCGATGACTTCCTCACAGTTGAGGATCCTCACTAAACTCCTCAAAGCATTAATAAAACTGTGGCTCTATTCTCCACCTTAGGAGTACCCCTATCCGTAGAAAAAACAATAGGTGCTTCTACTGACCTAACCTTTTTAGATATCCACCTAGACTCCGCAACCATGCTAGGCAGTTTACCAGACAACAAAGTAGAACACATCAGACATGGTTCTTACACAAGACTAGTTGCTCCTGAAAAGATCTACAATCAATACTCGTCTCTCTCAACTTCACAATTCGTACAATATACCACAGGGCCGCTCATTCAGAGCACGACTATTACACCTCCTACCGGAGGGCCCTTATGATAATAGCACAATTTCTCGTGACTCTCACGCAAAAGCAGACTTGCTAATGTGGAGTAGATTTCTTACGTATTGGAACGGGAAATTGATGTTCATCCCCCCACTAGACGAAGAATCACCGGTTGTATGGACCGTCGCAGCAGCCCACACAGGGTTCGCGGCCCTATACCAAGATCAGTGGTTCCATGACTCATGGCCCCCTGAAACACTGATACTACTACAAAATTCTGCACCACTTCCACATTATTCGAACTATACACCATAGTCACAGCAGATCACACCTGGGGTTCATTATGGGAAGGCAAAGCTGTCAAGTGCCTCTCCGATAACGAAGCCATTTGCGAAATTATAAATAAAGGGAGGTCTTCCTCCCTAGTAATCATGAGACTCATAAGGAGACTCATCCGGGTTAGCAGCATCACACAACTTCTATTTGGTTTTCATACACGTACCTGGCCGTAAAAATATCGCGGCTGACGCTCTCTCGTTCCAACTTTCAGGCATTTTTCAAGCAACAGCCCACAGCTGTCAGTACGCCTGAGATAACCCCGCTTTCCAAGACCTGATAAAGGACTAATCCACCTAATGCAACATGCCAAAACTTTGGCGAAAACCGCACCAACACCAACCCATTTGGACCTCGCACAACCAACGGTGATAGTATTGGATACTTTTTGCCTCTCTCTCACAGAACAACAGAGCTACACACCCCTATTCACAATACACGACAAACATCTCACTACCGCTAAAAAAATATATACTATGTGAGGACCCTGGCTACTAGATTAGGAGACAACCCATTGACCATCACAGGTCACTCATTTAGGATCGGCGTCACATCTGCCTCTTCCAGCAAGAACGTGCCAGTACATATAATCAAGAAATTAGCTAGGTGGAAATCAGCGGCTTACAGCAAGTACCATCCACAATCTAAGAGAGAACTCAGGAAAGCCTTCAAAGAATTGTTTATGTAACTGATATAAGCATTAAAGTGTTATGATGAAATGTTTTTGCCCTCCTTTATTTCAGGCCTACCGATCGTTGGTTTAGGCACACCCCAACCGACTCTCACCACATAGCTAACAGCGCTATGTACGGCTTATTGTCCCCGACTACAAATGTTAAAAAGGAGCCTGGTGTTGTGGAAGGGGTTACCCGGCCTATTTATACCCAGACTCAGCTCTACTCAGGGCCGACACAGATCCAGACTCCCACCCACAACACCCCTTAACAAAACACTTCCTTGGTGGGCCCTACTTTATTTCAGGCCTACATGATCATCGGTTTAGGCACACCACGACCGACTCTCACCGCATAGCCAACAGCATTATGTACGGCTTATTGTCCCTGACTACAAATATATATATACATATTTTTATATATAAAACAGTCCAGTCCTTGCACTCAGATATATCCAGCAAATAATGCTATATGTTGTTGCCGGGTGCATAAATTTAGCCACAAGCAAAAATTCAAAATATAAACATAGGCTAGCACTCATGGTCTTTTGAAGTAAAATCAGTTCTTTATTGAAGAATCTTAAAAAATCAAGATTTTTTAAGATTCTTCAATAAAGAACTGATTTTACTTCAAAAGACCGTGACTGCTAGCCTATGTTTATATTTTGCATTTATATATATATATATATTGTATTTTTTTTTTTTTCGTAATATTAAATCATTTTAAAAGTGTATTCATAAATATTATATAATTTGGAAAGCATTTACAACAATATTAAATGAACACTCTGGACCCCTAAAGCACTTTAGCTTGCTGAAATTCTTTATTTGTAATGGGTGTGTACTCGTTTTTCAGTTTTGCAAAAAAAATACAGATTTCATTAGGAATTGGCACTTTTTAAAAATTAACCTTGTTATACCCTCCTGACTTTCAAGCAGACAACAGGTCCTGTTACTTCCTGGTTGTTTAGCTCAGTGGACCTCAAAAGGCAGAAATTGCTCAGAGCACCTACCTTGCAAAGAGATGCACTGAGAAGTCTGTGATTGGACAGTCACAGAATGTCTGGGCTGGGGAAGAAGGGGAGGGCTTGGAAAGGTAAACAAGAGATCCACAGCTTTTGCAAGTTGTTTTTTAGATATAACCAAATGAAAAAAATGCATAACTTCTATATGTTTTTTGTACATTTTATTTTTTTGTATTTGGGCAGTGGAGTGTGCCTTTAAATCAAGGCCTATGTTAATGCTGCATTTTTAATGTTAGTCATTATAATAACTATATTTAAATAATATCTTAGCTATTTAAGCTTCAAAATACTGTACAGAAAATGTTAATGGTATTTTCCCCAAATGATGTTGAAATTTTCTGTAGAATGATTTAATACAGCTGCAAATGGATTTGCATTATAAAGTCAGTCCCTGTATGTTAAAGGACCACTATAGTGCCAGGAAAACATACTCGTTTTCCTGGCACTATAGTGCCCTGAGGGTGCCCCCACCCTCAGGGTCCCCCTCCCGCCGGTCTGGATGGAGAGGAAGGGGTTAAACTTACCTCTTTCTCCAGCGCCGGGCGGGGAGCTCTCCTCGTCTCCTCCCTCTTCTCTTCCTCTTCAGCTGAATGCGCATGCGCGGCAGGAGCCGCGCGCGTGCGCATTCAGCCAGTCCATAGGAGAGCATTCACAATGCTTTCCTATGGACGCTGGCGTCTTCTCACTGTGATTTTCACAGTGAGAAACGCGGAAGCCCTCTAGTGGCTGTCAATGAGACAGCCACTAGAGGCTGGATTAACCCTAACATAAACATAGCAGTTTCTCTGAAACTGCTATGTTTATAGAAAAAAGGGTTAACCCTAGATGGACCAGGCACCCAGGCCACCTCATTAAGCTGAAGTGGTCTGGGTGCCTATAGTGGTCCTTTAACATAGTCAGTACTGCTCATTCTTTGTTGTGATGAACCTAATCTTGGCATATAGCTGTTTATGGGAGTTAGGTAATATCCCCACATTCACTGTCCTTTGGTCCCACATAGTTGAATAATCTGTAAAATTGAGGCGTCCTTTCAATCCATTAATGTTTCCACATTGATATAATTATCTAGTTATACTGTTGCTCAGCGGAATCAAACAAAATAGAGAAACTATTGTATTGCATTCAATGTCCCAGTCTGGTTCTTAGCCTCAAGCTTCATTATTTTTATTGTATTTGTATATTTCATTGTTGTAGCAGAATTGTTCTTTGCCATTGACAGTGTAGTGAAAGTGTAGTGACAGTGACTGTGTAGTGACTGTGTCTGTGTAGTGACAGTGACCATGTAGTGACAGTGTAATAACAATGATAGTGTAGGGACTGTGACAGTGTAGTAACAATGATAGTGTAGCAACAGTGTATTTACAGTGATTGTGTAGTGACATTGATCGTGTAGTTACAGTATAGTAACAATGATAGTGTAGCGACAGTGTAGTGAAAGTGACTGTGTAGTGACAGCGATTGTGTAGTGACAGTGTAGTAACAATGATAGTGTAGTGACAGTGTTCTTATAGATACAGTCACTATGTAGTGATAGTGACAATGTAGTGACTGTGACTGTGTAGTAACAATGATAGTGTAGTGACAGGGACCAAGTGGTAATAGTGAGTAACAGTGTAGTAATAATGACAGTGTAGAAACAGTAACTGTGTAATATAGCCAGTTATCGCTTGCATGCTCTGTTAAGAATTAGGACTGTGGCGGACCCTGTTTCTGACCCCCGTACCTTTTTCCCAAAGGAGCTATAACTACCCCTGGTACAGTGTCTTCCCTTCTCCTGAACACTATTGCCAAAAGTGCCCACTCTCTGGTAGACGTTCAGCCCTAATACTACCGAAAGGTCCCCAGCGGCACATGGCCGCAAACCCTTTGGAACTCTAACACGGCCATGTTACCTCTGGTTTCCTGGTCACCTTGACCAACTGTTTTGCCCCACTTGCCGACCTGCTATGGTACTATGGAACAAATGGAACAAACGCTCCCAGAGAGCCAGGGGGAGCCCCCTTTCATTAAGCCACAGGAGCTCCTGATGTTTGACCCGCAAAAGCTCCATTCGCATTGGAACCATTTTGGGCTTAGACCTTATGGGCAGCCAGTAAAAATATTTACCCCAGTGGCGATTTGCCACCTCTTCATGGATCAGGGCGCTATTTCACCTGATGGGCGCTCAAACTAGAGCTATCCGGGGTTATATAATATGTGGGGTTCCTATGTGCATTTATTGTATTTTCGGGGTGTTTTTGTGTTAAGCACTCTGTGTCCAGGGGGATAATTTGTTTAGCTAGAAACAACTCAATTATCTCACAGACACACAGAGTCAACTGGGTGGGCACTGTATTTATTGAATGGAGACCCCATACTCTGGGGCTTTGCATAAAAGGCTGCATTCGGCTCAATAAAAACAGTTGTACTCCCAGAACTGTGTCGTCTAGTTAATTGGTGGAGAGTTATAATCACTAACTAGCTTTTTCTAGCTTCGAGGAGGAATTAACGGAGATACCCTGTCAAGGTATTGGAGCACTACTACAAGGGCTTAGAAAATTA